TCACAGTATAGATCTTAAGTAGGATTGTGTCAACATTTTTAGGCCTCATATTTATTCATAGAGTTATTTATTTGCTAACCAAATATCGTTTTCTTGTTAATGTATTTGTATCTACTTTTGCCGTTTCATATCTATTTTATTATTAATAATCATCCTAAATCAATATTCAATAAATATATCATAGTATCATCGGATATTAACTATTATCACTTATTCCTATTATTTTTATTACAAAAATTATTCAAAGTTATATCTAATCAGTGTAATATATTTTTAATTAAAATGTTAACTAAAATTCTGAATAATTAAACTAATCCGTATATTTTTAGTTTGCTAAACACTACAAAAATACTGTTCTCTATATTTGAGAGTAAGTTATGAATAATTTTTCAAATGAAATCAAAAGACAATTTTTAATACGAGTCATAAAATATTAATGAATTAATTAATATTTAGGATAACATTGGCTTTAATTAGATTGAAATGAGAAAAATAATGATCGCATTCATGGGCAGAGTTACGCCACTGATGTGTTTGTGTGAAACAAGGGTTAAGAAAGACGTTTGTATTAAATATAAATATGTAGAGAAAAATGCATTTTCAACTCATTTCATATGCAAAAACTTTTGGTCTAAAAAACTTTATAATATATTATGTATTAAATCTTTGAGAGAAAAACACATTAATATTAGAATAAAAAGATTTCTCCGTCGTAGAGTTATTTATTTGCTAACCAAATATCGTTTTCTTGTTAATGTATTTGTATCTACTTTTGCCGTTTCATATCTATTTTATTATTAATAATCATCCTAAATCAATATTCAATAAATATATCATAGTACCTTCGGATATTAACTATATATCACTTATTCCTATTATTTTTATTACAAAAATTATTCAAAGTTATATCTAATCAGTGTAATATATTTTTAATTAAAATGTTAACTAAAATTCTGAATAATTAAACTAATCTGTATATTTTTAGTTTGTTAAACACTACAAAAATACTGTTCTCTATATTTGAGAGTAAGTTATGAATAATTTTTCAAATGAAATCAAAAGACAATTTTTAATACAAGTCATAAAATATTAATGAATTAATTAATATTTAGGATAACATTGGCTTTAATTAGATTGAAATGAGAAAAATAATGATCGCATTCATGGGCAGAGTTACGCCACTCATGTGTTTGTGTGAAACAAGGGTTAAGAAAGACGTTTGTATTAAATATAAATATGTTCTTTTTACGTAAAAGTTGAGTAAAGTATACGTTTTTGAAAACCAGATTTTTTGAAATATTATATAATACATAATTTAGAAACTCTCTTTTTGTGTAATTATAATCTTATTTTTCTAAAGAGGCAGCCTTCTCCTACTGGAAAGGGATCTCATTTGATACGAATCTAATTGCTTAATAATTTTATTTTGATGGCAAAAATCAATGCCAAAAATTGATTTCAGAATAAGTTATGATATTCTGTTGTATCCAAAGAATGTTAACATAAGTTGTGATCTAGAAAATGATAAAAAATGTTTAGTATATATATTCTGTCAGAAAATGATTCAAACATTTAAATTAATTATTGTGTGAAATAAATGATATTTTCATATATTCATTGAGATTCTTAAAAAATCCTTTTTTGTTATTCAGCGCAACGAAATTGATTAAAAAATCTTTTGAAAAACTTAATAATTTATTTGCCACCGCTTTGACAATATTACAATTTTTTGTATAAATTTACACAATATATATTTTTTTTGAAAAGAATTTTACTTATTAGCTTTCGAACTTTAGAGAAATTCAAGTGTGTTTTTGGGTGAAGTGTATATTTCGGGAATTGATAACATATGTAATTAGTTTGAAAAACTTGTATTCATTATTTTCATCTCAGGAATGGATGATTGAAATTTTGTCGATTATAATCATATTTTTAAAATTTTAATTTATTTTTAATTAAATCTCGAAAAATATTTTATCCCAAAATTGAGCCCTTGATAGATATGATAAATAATATGTACTGTACACACTAATACCCAGAACAGACATGTTATTATAGATATAATAATTAATGAATTAATAATAATCTCTTTATTATGCTATAATTGGGACTATTTTATATTCCATTAAAAACTAATCTCAAGTTTAATTAAACAAATAAATAAAACTAATCTTAAAATAAACAAAAATTAATTGAAAATATAGTAAAAAAATAAAAATATCTTGCTTTGTCTTAAATAGATAAAAGACTGCATTCTTATATATTCAGCAAATTCTAGATCTATGTTATTAATAATCTGTTTTATACTGAGTTTATGTAATATTTCTTATTTATGTTATAAGTTTTCATATGTTTTTTAAATCTATTCTTTAGTTTTTTTCTCCTCTCTTATGCTAACCTTAGGTAATATCCTAGCCGAATATTACTCAAACATTTTGTATATCTAAATCGTGTTTTACACACCTTTACACAGGTTTTATATATTTTCTTTAAATTTTTGGAATTGAAAAACTTGTTGAAAGTAATGTCACTTTTTTGTTGCATTTATTTTCAATACAGTATTTATACTATTTTTACTCTTCTATCGGTTTTAAGTCTCAGTTGGGATTTGAGTTTTTCTCACTCCGGAGAGCACAGGGAGGCATAAACACAGGCACAGTGAGTGTCGGTGCGATGGATAGAGGGGGGAGAGAGAGACGTACAGAATATATGCCACAGCAATAGAAAACAACGCGAAATGTGTTGAATAGAAAATCATAGAAATTGAAGACAAGACACGAATTTCAGACATTTAATGAAAACAATCATTTCGTTTCGCGACTTGTATTTTGTCGCAAACCGAGAGAAACAGTAATTCTTTTTCAGGGAAAGAAAAATCTAAACTTTTATTTTTCTTATCCACACGTTTTTGTGCAGACTTTTGCGAATTTTGATTCAATACAACAAACATCACACAATATTTCTTTCTCTCTTATATAACACATTGTTTTCCGTATACCATATATACACGACTGCACTGTAAGGAGAAATAAAAGTATTGATCAGAAAATGAGATTTTTTAAAATTTATTGCTTTAAAGAAACAGCCGTTCCGTTCGGGAGTATGGGATGAGCCGAAGGCATACTTGTGCTCAAGAAATACCTGTCAATACATATGTATAGAATTCGCAGAGGAATCCGGAATATATTAAACGATTCTTTATGTAACATATAATTCGTTGTAAAATTCTTGGGCCGCAAACAAAAAATCATTAGTAATAATGAACTTTTAATATGGGTTTTGCTTTCTATTCATTAAAATATCATTACTTTCGTGTAAAAGAGAATGAATGCAAATATTTATGCAAATTATGTTTTTTCATTGTATAGATAGAGGAATAGTTTTGTAGTTAAATGCACACAAAATCAATATATTCACCAATTTTGGCATTTAATTTATACCATTTATAAATGTATTTCTTTGAAAACCATTCAGAATTGTTGTTGATTTGAAACTTCAGTATTTGTGCCTTCATTTCATTCAAACATTTGTATTATTGGATAATTATGTATTTTCTAAATAATTGCTTTTATGTTCAAAAGTCAATTAATTTGTCGGTAATTATTAAGTGTATTGAAACAGAATCCTATGGCAACATGTTTTACCTTAAGTCAACTCTTTTAGTATGCAGTTTGCGGCTAATAATACAATTAACAAAAAGACAAATCTATAATTATTGCTAACAATTGGCACTTATGTTGAATGAGTTATGAAGACCTGGGAAGTCATCTTATTTTCAAAAATATCCATTAAATACCATTTAATGCAAACCAATGAATAACTGAAACATAACATTAAAGTTGTTTTAATATTTATCTGCAATTTTTATGATGAATTAAACAAAGAGGTATGAAATAAATTAGATATAAATTTTTATATTCCTATTGTAATTGTTTGTAATTGTAAAAGGTTTAAGTCAAATTTTAAAAATTATATTTGCACTTAAACCTTAATTACCCATAGAAATAAATACTACAATATGACCCTTCTTAACCCTAAAATCAATGGTTTAAAATTAATTTTGTTAATTCTATTTGAGAAATTTAAATTTTTTATTAAATAATTTACTATTACTTTGTTTAATAGTGTTTATTAAACATCTGTTAAAAAATTATATGTCATAACATAATATTAATTTTTTATAACAATTTGTGATCTTCTATGAATAAATCTTAACAATTAATAGCTTTATCAATTATAAATGCCTTATATTTTATCCTGGCTCTCTAGTCAATTAAACAAGCTTTATAAATACCTAATCCTTGTTCATCAACTTGAATCAACTACTGGTTTTGCAACATTCAAGTTAAGATATATATCTTTGGCAAAGTTATTACTGTATAAATTTAGTGTTGAATGTGAGCTCATTCCTGACACCTTTTATCATAGAAACAGATTATCTCTCAAGTCTTTATATTATAAAATACAGTATATATATTTAAAATTAAGATATGCCTCACTTCGAGCTAAATCATTCAAATACGAACTACTAATTAACTATTATTTACTTTATACAATAGATATTGATAACATACTTAGACCAAAATACGTTTAATAACCTTCAGATATAAGTATCTTAAGGTAGTGTAAAAACAGTGAGTATATTATTTATAAGTTCTCTAATAAGTTGTAAGATTCATATGAAGATATAGGTAATATACTGTAGGTAATTGAATAAGTAGAATCTAATTTATACCCAATTGCAATTATAGTCATCAACATAATAATTATTCAAATCGAAAACAATTAGTAAAAGTTATCATTTGGTAAAAACCATAATATAATCCACAGAACAATACAGAGGCACATCCAGGTCCAGGTAGTTTGTGTTCAACACTCTTAATGAAGTATCATCTTATGAGGTATTTAGTAAATAACAAACAATATCTACGGTATAGCTCAGTAATAATACTGAAAATGATTTAATATCCAATCGCAAATACAATTAAATTGAATGTAATGACCGGTATATTAATAATATATTCTACGGTATATATAATATATTAGAAAATCCATAGGAATGTCGAGAAATACAATCAATTGTGTTATGATTAGGTAATAAAATGCTCGTATAATTTGACAATAATTTATGGTATAATGAATAGACAGCTAGTCCTCCATCTCCTCCATCCGACAGTGAATGGTGGTGTCGACCACTTCAAGACTCGCGTAATCCAGTTCCTTAATCAGACACAACACGGCTGATAGTATATTGGCATTCTGTGGCGATACAAAAATACAAATTCAATCACAATTAACACACAAATGCAAAACATGTGTCAAATTGTATGTCAATTACTCGATGTTTTCCACCCTTTGGTAGCAATCGTTGAGCGGATGAGCCGTTGGGAGCGCTTTGAATGCGAGGGGTATTGAGGTTCTGATAACCGGAATAATTGCAGTAATTGTTGGCATTTGGCTCCGCGTTTGGGAATACCTGCTCTATAGCTGCCGATGATGTCGAGCCAGTTATGGCTACAGTTCCTGGAAATGAGACAAAAATATATATATTATATATACATTTGAATGAGTAATTCAAATTAAATTACACTTTATTTGCGAGAAAAACCTCAATTCAAACTTTTCAATCATACACACAATACATGCATTTAACAACTCATAAGCCCTTCCCTCCTGTTTTGACAACTTATGCAACTTTAAAGGTCTGTCCACCCAATCAATGCCTCGCATACCTGTCTCTCACTGATACCTAAGGAGTGGTAGCCTATTGATTATTATATCATATGTTTGGCACCTTTTATATCCTGCGAGTCAGTGGAGGCTTGCGAGCGGACCTCCCAATAGTCAGTATCAATGGATTGTATCATATCTTTAGTAAAGTTCGGACACTTCCTCTGGAAGTGGTG